ATAAACATTTATCATGATATAAGGAAATAAATAATAACTTTATTATTGCCTCTAGGGCATATTTCCTTCAGCATGACCCTGATGTATGCCGTCTTTTCCGTGCATACGTTGCTGGTCCTCCCGTGCCTCTGGTGTATCTTTTATCTTCTCATACACGCCCAAGAAGCCAAGCAGGGTCAGACAAAGATTCTTCGTCACGTGCATCACGTCGATTGTGGAGCGGACCTCTAGGTCTTTCCAATAGGGCAGGTCCCAAAATATAGATTTCTTCTTCCACATGGGTGCGAGTCCGTCAGCGTCATTTGGAACAGGTTGTCCACCAGGACCCTTTCCAAAGACCACCTTCAAATCCTTGACCATATCATGTACATCAGCACCAGTACGGTGGCGAGGCTTCGTCCGGTGATCCACCTCACCTTTGAAATGCTTGCCTTTCTTTCTTACGGGATGCCTGCTCAGAAGAAATCGACGATGTCCCAGGTACACATTTTTCTTACAATTAGCCAAATATATATTGTCGGTATCGTCCAAACAGTGCATGCATGCGCGGTATCCCTTGTTTGTCTGTCCTGAAAGGTTACTGAGAGCAGGCCAATCATTAATGGTCACGAACAGCAACGCCTTTAGGTCAAATTCTTCCCCCATGTGCTCATCCCACGCACGTACACATGTTCCATTCCACAGTTGTAAGAGTTCTTCAACTAATGGCCTTAGGTACACATCAATGTCGTTGCCGGGTTGCTTAGGGCTTGGATGAGCACTGGCATCATAATGAATTTCCGCTTCATGCACAACCAAAGAGGAAGGTTATACAAACATAGAGTCACGGGCCAGGTGCTATGGTTGCTGCTCTGCTTTCCAAAAGGATTAATGCCATCTGCGCTTAGACCAAACCATATGTTCCTTGCGTCATCTGCAAACTCCTTCCCATACTTTCTTTCAATTTTTCTCCACTGCGACCCATCAGCGGGTACTCTCAACTTTCCGTCTTTCTTACGGTCTTCTCTGTGCCATCGCATCGCCTTGGCATGCTCTTTGTTTTGGAACAAACGTTTCAACCGTGGTATTATAGGAGCATACCACATCACCTTGGCAGGAATCTTCTTCCTGGGGCGCTCGCCCTCGACATCACCAGGGTCATCACGGCTGATCTTATAGCACAATGCACCGCATATTGGGCAAGCGTTCAAATCCTCGTACTCACCGCTATAGAGGATGCAATCATTAGGGCATGCATGTATCTTCTGCACCTCTAACCCTAGAGGGCAGACAACCTTGTTTGCTTCGTACGTACTCTCGGGCAATTCGTTGTCCTTTGGAAGCATATTCTTTATAATTACCAGCAACTTCCCAAATCCCTTGTCAGATACACCATTCTCTGCCTTCCATTGTAGCAATTCCAGTGTGGTGCCCAGCTTTTTCTTGTCACCTACGCAATTCGGGTACAACAATTTTTTGTGATCCTCTAACATGCGCTGCAACTTCTTATTCTCCAAATCACTTGCGCAGTTTCTCTTTGCATGGGCAATGGCCCGACCTATATCATCAACGCGCTCATCCGATGCCTCTTCTTCAGCTTCTTCCCGCATTGCCGGCTCAGCTTCTTCCCGCATTATCGGCTCAGCTTCTTCCCTCATTGTTATATCATCATATTCAGGGAACCCATGGCCAGGATAGCTGTCATCGCCCTCTTCTTCTTCATTGTCTTCCATCATAACCCCTCTTTCTCCATGCTTGGTCCAAACATTATAGTGGGGCATGAAACCGGACTCAAACAGGTGGACGTGAATGGTTCTTGACGTAGAGTAATTGTGACCATTCTTACAGCCAGCACATGGACAAGGCATAAAACCATCCGCCCGCTTGTTTGCCTCAGCCGCAAGCAGAAAAGTACGCACGCCATTAATGAACTCGAGAGAGCATCGGTCATCGTACATCCATTGTCGGCTCATCTTCAATACACAACACCGAAAACACCAAATTAATACAATACATAAAGTTCATACATAAAGATCATACAACACTTAAATGCAACAAACAAATAACTCTCTAGCTAAAGAATTTAAATGCAACAACAAATGTGATCAAGATCGCAACTAAGGTAACAATTGATCCAACATCATAATGATACCAAGCCTCACTATGAATGGCATATTTTCTAATCTTTCTAATCTTCAAGCGCATTTTCTCCATCTTAATCTTGTGATCATCGACGACATCGGCAACATGCAACTCCAATTCCATCTTCTCGCCCTCAATTCTTTTTAATTTTTCCTTCAAATCCTCGTTTTCTCTTTCAACTAAATTTAACCTCTCGACAATAGGGTCGGTTGGAATTTACAGTTCAACTACCTCCTACATACAAATATCTATGTCAACTTGATGGGCATAATTTGTCATAAACACGAAATGTAATGAATAGTTTTAAAAGAGAATATACCACATCCGAATCATAACCCGGACGAGGGCCGACGGGGACGGATATCAAAACCATGGCACTATGTATAACAAACAACGTATGGGTAAGATAATTATACGAGTAACTATATTCAAATCACACAAACATCAATTTTTTATATAAAACTTCATGAACAAGAGGCTCACCACAAGGTGGTGCCGGCGAGGGGACGTTGCGAGCGATCGACAGTGGTTACGACGGATATTTAGAAGGTACTAAGTAAACCACACCTACATATGCAAAACTAAGTGTTATTTTGGACCTCAAATTGCATATAAATCAAATACTAGCACATATATATAATTCCTCCCTAATTACTAAACTCAAAAATCAATCACTATATAAAGCATTGCACGAGCTAATCTAGCAATGAGAGATGAAAGGACAAAGTTGCTAACCTTTGTGATCATTTGAATGGATGGGGGCCTTCAAATCTTGACAAATTTTGGGCAAAATGTGTGATGAGCTTGAGAGGAAGAGGGAAAAGAACAGAGGGGAGAGGGGAAAGGGGAAGAACAGAGCGAGCTCGGGTGGACGAAGGGTCTATGTAGGACGACCTTTAGTACCGGTTCGTGATACGACCAGGGTACTAAAGGTGATGGAGGGGCCCCGGACTGACAACATCCTGCCACCACTCACTTTAGTACCGGTTCGTGGCACGAACCGGTGCTAAAGGTTCGCCACAAACCGGTACTAATGAGAGTGGCTGGCTAGCCGTTGGAACCGACACTAATGCACACATTAGTGCCGGCTTGAATTCAAACCGGCACTAATGTGCTTCACGTTTGACCATTTTTCTACTAGTGGACGTTGGGCAGCGACAACATTGCAGCAGTGGAATAAGTCCCTCCGATCTCCTCCCTGACCCGACAATGTTCGCTACAAAATTTGGGGGTCCGGCGACTTTGTCACGAGGTCACTAGCCCTTGAGGTGGTCAAACTAGGCGTGATGTCTTATATTGAATCTACTTTAGGTTAAACTAGAGCTTCGATTCCTCCGTCTTCTTTGCCCTTGAAGTCGAAGTCCCCCCTCCTCATCCTATTCTTGAAGCATTAATAAGTGGCCTTGGTTGGTTTGACTGCCCTCCACCTTGGTCTCCTAGTTTTGGACGACTTGAACTCCTCCTCGTTTGGTAGTCGGATGCCTTCCTTCTTGGGAGTCCATGGGACACCCGTTTGAAGTAGTTACCCGCGAGGTCTCTTAGTTTTGGACGACTTGAACTCCTCCTCGTTTGGTAGTCGGATGCCTTCCTTCTTGGGAGTCCATGGGACACCCGTTTGAAGTAGTTACCCGCGAGGATACGACCTCTCCGCGGAGCTTGGGTCTAGGCCCGCCCAGATGGCCTGTCTAGGGCTACAAGCGACATGATCTGGGATAGAAGCCCACTTCCTGTCGACACAACACTTCCACATAGTATGAATCTATATGGGGAAAACACCCCTATAATTAAAAGTAGAAGAATTAACTCCGTGAACCCCTTTAGCATAAAAAATCCACATAATAGCATCCCCCTCTTCACTTAACCGAAGGGAGGGTATGCTGATAGTGTCCAACAATCAAACAAAATGTTTGTAGGTTCCACGCGACAACAAGAGTTTAGAACATATGAGGTCTCGTTCCTTCTATTTCCTGCGTACAAGGTGGCTAGGGTTTAACCCTCTTCTCCAGCATGGCCCTTGTTCCCACCATCTTGGCACGGGGAGACGAAGGGGAACTCAGTTTCTCCGACCAATGTGTACTTTCCTTTTTTATGGATTTTTTGTTCACGTGTCTCAGCAGTGACGTTGGGCAGCGACAACATTGCAGCAGTGGAATAAGTCCCTCCGATCTCCTCCCTGACCCGACAATGTTCGCTCCAAAATCGGCGGTAGGCTTGTGAGGGTGTGGTCCCATGCATCTGGGCAGCTGGATCTATTGGGCGATATGATGATGCTGCTGGCGGCGGACAAAGTATCAAACCTGATGTTGAATCTTGACAAGTGTTAAGCTGGTACGGGAGTGCCTTCTCTCTTTGTTAAGCCTCGGGCGGGGGCTCTTCCTTCCCGTTGGTTGTTCTGCATCAAATCTTTGCAACCTATTCACTAGGCGCGTCTCGGTCGATGTTCTTCAAGCGTGTGTTATGCCCTGCCTCTTGCCGCAGGTATTTTGTTGTGGCTCATGTAGCCCATAATGGTGTGTGTTGTTTCTAGGATTTTGATTCCGTCTTTGCAACCGCTTCTTTCTGACTACAGTTTCTTTGGTGATGAGGTAGACGGAGTTGTTCATGTCGGTGGGCTAAGAAGATGGGGTTGAAAGTCTTTGGATACTACGGAATGTATTCCTTGATGTTTGTCAGATATAGCAAAAATCCGGAATGTATTTCTTCAGATGAAAAAGCTAAGCCCTTCATTACTTTAGCCATGTATAAACTTGTGTGCTGTACAAATGACGTCCTTTTGTTTTTTGAAAAGGACTTGCCAAACGCAAACATAAACATGAGCAGGAGGAAATTACCAAGTCACCCTTGATTATAACAATCTACCGACCAGGACTGCTGTATTGTCATTCGAAGGACAAGTCGGGCCACGTGTCGAACTCCGGCGACCCGAGGTCGGGCAGCCCGTCAAACACGCCCGGCGGCGCGCACTGCGGCGGGTGCGCCAGCGGCTGCACCACTGCCGGGACGCTGCCGGTGACAGTTGCCGCGTCCGAACGGTGGCCCTGCAGCGCACCGCCGCACCCATGCGCAGCGGCGGCGGCCAGGGAGCGGCCGGCGGCGTGGGCCCGGCGCGGAAGTGGCCTGAAGATGGCGGCCGGCGGGAAGCCGGTGAGCTCCTGCACCATGGCGCGGAAGTTGGACACGTCGGTGGCCACCACGGTGGTTGACGACCGGCGCGACGCCGACGCCGAGTGCTTCCTCCTGGCGCGCCGCGGCGACGGCTGCTGCTGCTGCGCGTCCGCGGGGACCTGGCCGCCGGCCGTCCGCGTCGCCGCCGTGTTGCATGGCTGGTACTTGGCGCTGGACTCCATGATACGCGCCGCCGTGGCCGAGCGGTCTCGGCCGTCGCAGGAGTACATCGCCGGGAGGTGTCTAGGAATTAGGATGTCCGCGAACTTGCCAGGGGGTTCCGTTTGACGTGCGCATTTATAGCAAGCCAGGCAGGAATTGACCTGAAGAATCAACAGTGGCACCACTTCATTTTCTAGCACCAGC